GTGAGCCAACTCAGAAAACTTCCGATCAGATCCGAAGCAGTCTCAACGGATATCTGCTGGATACTGTCTCACATGAGCTCACCGGTCTTGCTAAGTTGATGCTTCTTAATTGCGTTGGAACACGGATTCCTGACTTCCGCAACACAAGTGTGTGCTGGTAGCAACATATTGACATCCAACAACCGCAGCTGCTACTCATCACTTCACACACAATGGTCTGAGTGGTCGCAACTGCTGAAACCACGGAAAACGTGGGTCGACCGAAACCTAAGGATAGACACGTTTTGCAACACACAAATTTGTGGAGTCGAAATGAGCCGAACAAACCGTCATCACCTTGCTTGTAGCACACATGTGTGTAATCATGAAACACGCAACCAAGCTTTGGCCCCGCTGCATTCCACTGCACGCTTGTCAGCAGAAAGTGCACGGAAAGCAACAAGAATCCAGATTGAACACATGGGCAAGCCCAACCCACGTGAACCGATTCAAGAACAGCTCGAGAAATATCTGAACAGGTCCCAACTGCCGATCTGCTCGGAACTGCTCCTGCATGGGCTCACATGAGCCATCGCGAGCTCACAAATTGAAGCCATCCGTTTTCTCTGGATTTCGTTGGATCAAGGTTGCCTGCTTTCTGCCGCGCACATGCGCGCTTGGTGGCAGAAACATGTCCACGTCTACCGTAGCCATCAACTTCCTTTCGGCTTCTACAGCACACGTGTTTGAGCTGCCAACCAACCCGTGATGTGAGTATGTTGCTGCTAAAGCACCTGAGGGTTGAACCGTATCTGCATTGTGTGCAACACATATGTGTGTGCAACACGCAAGCGGATGCAGTTGCACACATCGTGATGATGATACGGGATCTTTCGAGTGGCAGCACTCACCGGCCCTGTGCTGCGAAAACCAGAAAGCCATGGCCATGACTCCGCCCCGAAAGGTCAGACACAGCCAACAAGAGTCAAACAAGAGCAATTCCGAACTCATCCGACCCAGCCGCAATTGTTACGACCTAAACCCCGATCAAGGACAGGTCCTATCAGACCCGAACCTATCCCAGCTTCGTTGTTTCTGCAATGCACATGCGTGTGCAAACAACACACGAGTGTGTGCATAGCCGTTTAAACCGTGATGTTGACATGGTTCCGCCAGCAGCCGCTAGCACACACATGCATTTGGTGCAGAAATCAGGAAACCGAATTGAACCCCACCCAAACCCACACATGTGCGGGATCTGCATCGGTGTGTCTGCGCAAGGCAAAAGACATCCAGAAAGGAACAAGTAGTCAGACCTAGCCGACGTTGGAATCGGCACCAATTCCGAACAGATCCGAACCGGCATGAACCGGCGTTGAACCGCAATCAACTTGCTTACAGCGCACAGGCACATATGTGCGTTTCGTTCGGACACGTTCCACCACACATGCGTCGCATGTGTCAGCAGAAAGTGTACACGATGAGCCGATTCAAGCACAGTTCGAACAAGATCTGAACAGGTTCCAACTGCCGATCTGCTCGGAACTGCTCCTGCATGGGCTCACATGAGCCATCGCGAGCTCACAAATTGAAGCCATCCGTTTTCTCTGGATTCCGTTGGGCCAAGGCTGCCTGCTGTCTACCGCGCACATGCGCACTTGGTGGCAGCAACATGTCCGCGTCTACCGTACATATCAACTGCCTTTTGGCTTCTACAGCACACGTGTTTGAGCTGCCGATCACCCCGTGAGGTGAGCGTGTTGCTGCTAGAACACCTGAGGTTGAGCCGCGGTTTCTTCAGGTTTGCAACACATGTGTGTGTTTGCAACACGCAAATGTTAACACATTGTGACGATGAGACAGGATCTACACTCATGCGTTTCTTTTGCGACAACCAGAAGAAGCCATGACCCGGACCGCACAAGCTCAGATCCAGCAGGAAAGCGTGATTCAACCTCACCGGTGTCCACGTGTCTGCACGAAGCAAAAAAAATCCAGAAGGAACAACTGGCCAGACGTAGCCTACGTTAGTCGATCCAGCCCAAAATTATTACAAGGCACCTCATCTGAGCCGATTGAGAAATGGCTCCGAACAGATTCGAACCGGCAAGAGCTCACCATTCTTGCCAGGTTGATGCTTAATTGAACCAGAGACCCCTCACATCCACAACATACGTGTATGCTAAGTGAGCGCAACATAGCGCAACACACAAGTTTGTGGAGTCGAAATGGGCCGAAAAACCCACCCGCCTTGCTTGCAAGGCCCACATGTGTGTTTTCACCAAGCTGGAAACCAAGCTTTGGCAGCAGAATGCAACAAGAATCCAGATTGAACAGATGAGCGAACGTGAGCCGATTCAATAACAGTTCGAGGAAGATCTGAACAGGTCCCAGCTGCTGATCTGCTCGGAATTGTTCCTGCATGGGCCCACGTGAGTTATGCACTGCACATGCGTGCGCGTGTGCGGAAAGCGCGATCGTGTGCAACCGAACAAAACGTGATGTGGATTTGTTTGCGCCATCCACACAAGAAAGCAACGGTTCGGCCAAGGATCTGAAGGTTGAAATGCTCCTGACTTCTACAAATTGCCCTGCGTGTCCAGTACCAAGACATGTCCACATTCACGTGAAAAACCGTGAGGTGGATACGCTGCTGACAGCAGACACGCACGTGTGTTGAAGGAAGGCAAGAAAGTGTGTGTGTGTGTGTGTGCCGAACAAACCGTGATGTTGCTATGTCGCTTGTGCATCAGAACGGCCGCATTGGGTGCCACACCTAATTGAACAAATGGTCCAGCATAGCACGCATCAGCTGATTCAAGAAAGCTCCGATTCGGATTCGATCGGAGCTGTTCCTGAAACCTCGGGCGTGGCACAGACGGAACCGTGACGCAGTAAGCAACAAACCGTAGCTCAGCCGAAAAAGATATGAGTGTGTGCCCGCAGCTGCATCGCAGCATCACGGCTCTATCCGCAGCCGAAGAACCATCTGTCAGTTTGGTTTATTGGGCTAGGTTGCTGCCAACAAACACACATGCGTATGCTGCAGAAAATGGGCAGGCTTGATTCCGGAAGCAACAAATGGTAGGTTCCGAACTTTTCCGAGCAGGCGAACAGTGAATCAACAGTTGAGACCGGCTCCGATCTTCTTGGAAATGTTCCTGAATCCTTTCACTTGAGCCGGATCCACGGCCCATTAAAGAGCAGCGCACACGTGTGTATCCGGCAGAATGGCGACTGTGCCGGGCGCGGAGGGCGTGGGTGCATGCGGGCATGTGTGTGGATCCTGAATCGGCTCGCACGACCTTGCCTTTCGTATATGGGACCGGTTCGCAAATGGGACTGGTTCCGATCTGCTCCTGAATCGCACCACGCGCGCAGATGCCGGTGTGGACCCCGATGGGGTTGAATCACAGATTCCTGATGTCTGCAACACAGGCACCACACAAGCGGTTGCAGAAAGCAAAAAGAATACAGAGGAAACAAAGGGTCAGACCTGCCAGCAGTAAATAGAAGTCAGCCGTTTCAAGCGCTCAGTTAGTTTGCCCTAGGCGCTATAGGCCTCGAAAAAAAGCGTGCTAAGCCGCCCTCACAATTGTTGATTTTCTCGAAGACCAACCGTGGAAGCTCCATGTATGCCGCCGCACAAGAAATTCAGCGTCCTCATCCGGCGCCGTGCGATGCCGGACGACTGCACTGGTGGATCCACGCGACCTGGAGTCCAACCGAGTGCTCTGCGAATACATCGGAATCACAAATGTTCCAACCCTCGTGATGACCGCATTCAGTTGCTCTATTGTAGAACAGTATACTGTATTTGATATGAGATTATATGACACTATATGAATATGCCTATATATGTACACATACATACATACACACATACTCTATCTGTGTATATGTATATATATATACATATATATATATACATATTACATGTGTATATATATATATATAATGTGTGTGTGTGTGTGGCGCCTTTATCTCTTCGCAACACTGCGGCTGCCTCTCGGCACAACCTCCGGGCTCTGAAGCCTTCGGCTTCTGAGCTCCGGAGAAAGTGAGGACCAGAGGGTTTAGGGTTTAGGGTGCTTAGGGTTTAGGGTTTAGGGTGCTTAGGGTTTAGGGTTTAGGGTGCTTAGGGTTTAGGATTTAGGATTTAAGGTGTTTAGGGTTCAGGGTTTAGGATTTAAGGTGTTTAGGGTTCAGGGCTTAGGGTGTCTAGGGTTTAGGTGACGGATTCAGCCGGAAGCATTAAGGACTCCCGCTTCTTCCTCTCATGTTCTGGTCGTCTTGCTCCGGCATACCGTTTCCCCTTTGCCAAAGACTTGACATTATAGTATAATGGGCCCCCAAGCCCGATTTAAAATGTTATTAAGGCCCTCATATAAATCCCCAAAAGAACCCTTAAAGGAACACTCATCATACCCTTTACAGGAACCCTATTCCAATTCTGAAGAGACTTGACTGTCTAAATTGCATAGCATTTACCTGGCTTGGCTACATGTGGGAGTTTCCGAAAATGGGGGACCCTAATATGGCACCCTAAATAGTAGGATCCTTATTATAAGGATCATAGTAGGATCCTTATTAGAAGGATCCCAAGATAAGGTACCCCTCATTTTCGGAAACTCCCACATGTCTTGTGCAAGGGCTAGGTCGCCACCGCCGCTTCCAGCCGATGGGTTCTCAGAACTAGGGCTCTTTCTTTGTGAGACTATTATTTTGGGGGTTCGCTACTGTAAAATAGTATCATGGGCCCAAAATCCTATTACTGTAAGGACCCTAGACTATGGGAAGAACGGTAGAATCCTGATGATGGGTAATGCAGGGTTTATGTCATTAACCGTAGGGCTCTTTCTTTGTACTCAGGATCCGATGCATTGAATACTTTGGCTGGTCAAGGTTATGCTCCCGTACACCGCGGAAGCCTACATACACATAAGAGATACGCGACACGGGACCTTCAGGCATTCCTTTAAGGAGCCCAAATGGTTTCGGAAAGGGCGCGAGGCGATGCCTCAGATCCTCCTTAGGAGGGAAGACCAGGCAGCAAGCAAGAAGCAAAGGAACGTGCCGCCGGTCTGACACGCGAGGTTTGCGCTCCCATCCTTGGGAGCGCAGCTGGCATCCTCCTCCCTGCGAGCGCAGCCCACGGAGCACAAGCAACCTTCTCCGACACTGGCCTTGTACATGTCAAAGCAGGCCTCGGTCTCAAACACGGGCAGCTCATCCAAGCTGCTGGTCGGGATCTTGCCCAACAGTCCCTGAACTGCAGCATTCAGGCCGGCTGCCACCATGTCAAAGTTCTCATCGCCCGTAATCCATCTGCCAACACAGTTCACCGCACCCAGTGCCGCTGTGGATCCTAGAGAGAACTTCGTGAGCGAGTCTGTCAGCTCGCTGCTGACCGCGCTCAGAACCTGTTAGCTTGCGAAGAAAGGGATGTGGGCCACAAGAGAGGTCCTACCTTCTACCAGAAAGAACGGGGCCCCCGAATAAGGAAGCTTACGGTAACCCCCAAGTCTCAAAGCTCCTTTTGAATCCCTTCTCAAACCCCGATACTGCACTGTGATAGTACCAGGAAGAACCTTGGCCGCAGGTCGCAAAAATCAGAAGAGCGTACGAATCTGGGCCTGCAGGAAGCCCGACAGCTACATCCGCAAAACCTCGACTAGACAAGGAAGCATAAGAACCCTTCTTAGCTTCTGGAAGAACCCTTGAACCAACGAACGAAGCCCTTAAAAGAACCCTTCTAGATCCCCTTCTAAGAAGCCTTAAAGGAAGCCTCCTAGATCCCTCTGAAGCCGCCTGGGTGAGGTCCTGGAGGCCCGGAGGAGGTCCGAGAACCGTAGCCCTGACGCCCACCACGGCGTTCCAGCCCACGGCGAAGCACTGCCCGTCGGTGTCGAGGAGGTCGGTGGCCAAGGTGAAGCCTCCATATGAACCCAGGGAAGTCTAGTGTTTACACTAGAGTAGGTCACAGAGGCGTTTGTAGCTGAGGAGAAACCTTTGAGGGCCGAGGATTTCGGGTTCCGGGCTGGGTCGCAGTTCACACCTTCGTATGTCATCTACGTCCGGGGGGGCGGAACCTTCGAGGGCTCTGGAATCAGGGCCGAGGCTTGGGCTTCTCTTTGCCTCCCCACCTGGCGAGGTGCTAAACATCTTGGGGAACAAGTATCTATGTTTACTGGTGAAGAAATATCTGTTCCCCAATGGCTCTTAGACTCTTAGGGTTTGGACTCTGGGCTCTTAAGGGGGAAGGTTTTGGGAGGTCTTGGGCTTCGCGCCTTGTCCGCTGGTGGCGTTGCCAGAACTTGTCGTTTCCGTGCCCGGCCTCTGCTGGGTGAACTGTCGCTTCGCCAGGCTCTGCTTCGAGGCCTCGTCGGTGCAGACCTCAGAGGAGACGGGCCAGGAGACGGCTGTGATGCCCTCCGGGGCCTCACTGGCAGAAGCTTTCTCAAACTTCATGGTGCCGAAGAGGGAGGCTTGAGCCATGACGAAAGGATGCAAGGTGGCAAAAGTGCCGGGGACCACGAGGATCGTAACGACGGGACCCACCGTTACCGAGATTGCAGCTGACATCGAACCTGGAGTACTTGTTCGAGGAACTTAGTTCAACAAAAATCTAAAATATGTGACTAGACAGGTTTTGTTTTCCTTATCCTGATAACTGAACCTGAATTCTGTAAAGAGGGCCCAGCGACCTACTGCATTCAGGCTCCAGTGGTCACTGACACGGTCTGCTGTAATGGCCGCGTTGGCACTCTGATCGAGGTTTGTCGACGAAAGCTCCAAAGTTGTCTGGCCACCGACCCTGTAGACCGTGTGGTACTCCGCGCTGGCGGTGGCCTGTAACTCCCCCTCGACCGCCAACTTAACAGAGCCTTGAATCAGGACAGTGACACACACTGCATAGAGGCAGTAGGTGGCCACAGGCTTCGGTGCGCTCGGGAAGAAGAGCTCCTTTTCGTAGGTGCAGGAGCCGCCGGCAAGGGCCCCGACCCCGGCCGTACCAGTCACGTCCCCCTCCAAGCTGATCGTTGCAGTCCTCGCCGTGGTGTCAATGTCGATGGAGACTTTCGGCTTGAAGTCGATGCTGGCGACAACGCTGAGGACGGCTCCGGCGTTGCAGTACTGGGTCTCTCTGCAGCCCAGCTGGCTGGTAGAGGGCTCCTCCGCCGACCCAATCCCCAAAAGCTGCCGCCCTCCTGGGCCTGGCTGGCCTCCGAGTCGGTATACCGACGGAAGCTCCCGGGCTGCCCTGGCGTCCCTGGCATCGGCGTAGCCAAAGCGCCGGGCCCAGGATCCCGTCTCATCCCGGGCCGCCAGGCGACGCGCCCTATCGGGGTCGAGCTGCGTGCAGGTGAGGGAGGCCGTCATCTTTTGGGGGGAGGCGCTGAATCTGCAGCCGTACTCGTCCTGGCACAAAGCATAGCAAAACCCTCTGCACAACGTGGGAGCTGTTTGGCAAAAGATCTCCGCTACCGGTATTTTGGCACAATCCTTCACATCTCATCGCAAATCATGTACATGCAAACCGGAAACAGGATAAGCATAGAGACACGTGGCAGGGTCCGATCGAAATTGCAGAAAACGGTACTAAAAAAAGACCCGAATCCAAAGGCCAGCAGGAATCTGTGAGCGGCATCTTCATCGCAGGCGCAGCTTTTCTAACTCAGAACACCGACACCGGCAACAAAGCATAAAAGCTTGCTCTAGTTACTGTCGGAAACTCTGGCATGTGCTGGCCCTGAGGTCTCGAAAGTTTGGCTGACGCTGATACTGGCACATGCCTATGATCGGGCATCATTCCACCACAGGGCGTGCAACGGCAGAGAGAGAGAGAGAGACAGAGAAACAGAGAAACAGAGAAACAGAGACAGGGACAGGGACAGAGACAGAGACAGAGACAGAGACAGAAGGCGGAAGACAGAAGGCAGAAGGCAGAAGACAGAAGCCAGAAGCCAGAAGGCAGAAGGCAGAAGACAGCAGAGAAGCTAAAGATTGAAAATGTGAGTTCGCAGCGGCTGTGGCGCTCAACAATACACCACACGACATTACACCTGCAAAATGCTGCCGCAGACGTGACGGAAACAGGATATCTTCTGACAGCTGCTTGGCCTCCAGGTACGGTTCAACCACCTCCTCGATCATGCACTGGCCGAAATCTCGAGCGAACTTCACGAAACTCTCCACCACTTCGGTCAGAGCGCTCATGTCCACCAAGCTTTGGCAAGCACTTGGGGTCTTTTTGACGCAAGTGCCCTGGCAGTTGACGGAAATGCGACCTTCAAGAAGGCCACCGCAACAAAGATCCTCTGCGCAGTCTGCTGTTGCTGAACATTTCGCACCTTCACCCGCCCGATTGCCACAAACCCCACAGATGCCAGTCCTGGAAGAACATTCAGAATAGTCATAGAATGCTCCATCGATGGGCCACGTCAGTCGTGGCAACATAGACCCATCAGGCAAGGGCTCGGCGCACAGACCATTACAGCCCAGAGAAGTGCCGAGAACACCTGCGGGCAAGCGGCACACGTTGCTTACGCAGTCACTTTCCTGGGAACAGGCAGTTCCAGTAGGAACCTTGCGACCACAGACTCCACATCTGCCTTCGGAGGCTTTGCACTGGTTGTAATCGCAACCCCCTGAAGTGACTTTCGTGGGGTCATTACACTCCAGCCGATACCCATCGTCCTTCTTGGGCCGGCAGGTGCCTTGACAGCCGGCTGATGGGACACCCTCGCACCAGCCACTGCTGCAGTCAGAATTCTCTGAGCAAGTCGAACCATCCACCACAGTGCGCCCGCACACTCCGCACTTGCCTGCGCGGGCTTCGCATTGATTGTAATCGCAGCCGCCCGTGGTAATAGAGAGGCTGTCGCAAACAATCCTGGTCCCATCAGCCTTGCGCCCTTTGCACACCCCGCTGCAGCTGCCAAAACCTTCGCACCAGTCCGACACGCAGTCGCTGTTCGCGGTGCAGGCGCTACCATCCGGAACCCGAGCGCCACATATACCGCACTGACCACGCCCGGCAAGGCAGATGTTGTAGTCGTAGCTCGGCCAACTGCCTACAGCTCTTTCGCCATCTGCCCTCCGTGGCTTACACCGGCCAGACGAGAAGAAAGTGCCGCCGTCGCACCAGTTGCTCGCACAGTCTGAGTTTTTGTTGCAGGCCTCGGCCACTGCAGCACAGGCAAGCGCAGCGAGGAACTGAAGCTTTGCCATGGCATCCGCACTTACCAGGTGGATGAATGTTCCTACTGCTGCTGGACAATGACAGAGTCAACAGTGCAAACTGGGAATGCGCAACATCGCCATGATGGATTTGGCTGCGGGCTTGCCCCATTATACTCCTGCTCTATGCCGGCAGCCCTGAACTTGAGACTTGAGTTGTGGATGAAGTTTCAGAGCGGTCGTGACGGGAGCATCTTCCGTCACACTTGGCAGCATAGTCATGTACAGTAGTTTGAGGCAGTCTGCACTGCAAGCAGCGCTTGCTCCTCAGGCTTACGGGAGTGCAGCTCATGCCTTCCCCGCATGGAGAATGAAGCTCCAATCTGATTGGGAACATGATGAGCCCACTCAGTCCCTGGCTATCCCATGCGTTGAAAATGTGCCCGTCAGCAATCGTGTCGACCTCCTCTGGGACATTGCAGAGGTGGGTGCTCTGGGTCCCCTTCTGGGCCTTAAAGGCTCGAAGAAGAACGAAACTGCAAGCAAGTGTAGGTACCTGATTTAAAAACCTTGGGCTTTTATTAGGGTTCCTTAATATGAATCCTACTATTTTGGGGTTATAGGCCCAGGGTTTCTTAATCAGGTTCCTACCTCCTGACTTCCTGCTAGGCCCCAACTTTCTGCTTAAGTGGCCGGAAATGGCTTGTAAACTTGTCCGAGGGGGTAAGGCCCACTATGATGTTTGAGTAGAAGAAAGATCCACCCAAAGACGGAGACAGACAGACAGCCAGCCAGACTGTCCCAAACCAGAGCAGCCCATCCCAATACCTCTTACACAGGCATAAACGATCATAGACGCACAGACGGGAAGATCCACTCAAAGACAGACAAACAACCAGCCGGCAGGCAGGCAGACGGCTGTTTTTCGTTTGTCTATGTAGCTGCGTGTGCGTCTGTATATGTATATGCAGACCGGCAAATATGTGCATCTGAATATATACATGTATGCACACACAGAACATGAGTCGTAAACTGCCAGGGTTACGTAGGCATCATAATCACCCTGAGTTGTAAACAGTGAAAGTCTACTTACGTAGAATGATGGTTTAGGCTTCATATAAGTCTTTCGTGCTTTGCTGTTTTCGGGTTCTGGTCGGAGGAGTGAACGTGCTTGGGCCAAGCCGGTGTTATTTTCAGGGCTTCGAGGGCCACCCCCCCCATACTGCGCTTTACAATAAACCCCATAAAGTTGGAAGCCGGATTAAGGCCAAATAGTGCTGGGATTCCCTATACATTAGTACATTACTCTTACGATCGAGGCTATTGGGTTTCCAACTTTTGGACTTCTACCGTAAGCTTGTCTGCTGACGGTACTCTTGTCTTTACCTACCTCTCTTGGCAACTGGCAGAACACAAGAGGACGCAGACCGTGACACTGTCCTCTTCGATGACGGTATCTATGTCCGGTATGTCCTACACAAGGGCATCTACAAAAGACCTGCCCTTCGGTGACGACCCTACATCCCTGAACTGTCCTGAGCATCGTGCACAATCTGCGGCGCAACGCGCCGGATAATCTTGGCTTCCAAGCATTCATGTCTGACAGAAGAGATTCCTTAAGCCGAACTAAGCCAATCAAGCATCAATACATGGTTTCAGGGGGATATTGTCAGATCCCACTCCTGAAGCCACCCAAGACTCATAGCCGTAACGCTAAAAAGCCCAAACTGCTAAACCATACGAACCCCTAAACCCTAAAGCCCTGATCCTAAACCCTCGCCCAGGGTCGGAAGAGGGCCTTCCGAGATAAAAGTTTCTAATTTCTAGTCTGGTTTTTAGGGGCTTAGGGCTTTAGGGTTTGAGGGAATCGGGTACAGGGAGGGAATCGGGTGTAAGGGATTTAGTGGTTTAAGGCTCTATGGTTTTAGAGGACAGGGTTCAAGGGCAAGGACTTAGGTTTAGGGCTTCTATAGGGTCTTGACGACTTCAGTGGTACTTCCTTAGTACAGTGGGCAATGCCAAATTTGCTTTCGTCAACCCTACAATCCTGATGTCGTTGAGGATGCCCATAGCTGTCGACGACATTGTTGCCAAGCCTATGCCTGCCGCTGCAAGTCACCCCCAAGCTGACCCTAAACCCTAAACCCTACCCTAAACCCTAAACCCTAAATCCTAAACCCTACCTTCCACCCTAAATCCTAAACCCTACCTTAAACCCTAAACCCTAAGCCCTATACTCTAAACCCTACCCTAAACCCAAACCCTAATGCCTAACCGACCCGTTAACCCAGAGACTCCAATATCCCTCAATTAAGGAATATTCCTTAAATCATATGGGTGATCCTACTATAATTTAAAGTATATTCCTTAATTAATGGGTATTGGAATCTCTGGGAACCCTGGAGGACTCCGCAACCAAAGGTGTCCCGCACTGCCGAAACCGCCAGGTTCAGGAATCGCTTGCAAGCGACCCATGTAATGTCAAGCCTAAACCCTAAACCCTAAAGATCCCTAAAGCCTAAACTGCTAAACCCTAATATCCCTAAATCCTAAATCTCCCTAAAGCGTACACCCTAAACCTTACATATCCTTCACCCCTAAACTCTAAATATCCCTAAATCGTAAACCTTACGATCGCTTGCAAGCGACCGAAGTCAGCAGCTGGCCAATGGGGATCATGGCGACGTAGAGGAAGCCAAGCCCTGGTAAGCTCATAGCGCTGATGATATAAATCCTAGGACTCCGTTACAGGGATCTATAAGGGTACCTTTAAGGGGCTCCTTTAAGGGATCTATAGGGCTTTAGGGTTTAGGGGTGGTGATATAAATCCTGCATGACCTTAAGGACGCCACACTCTGGGAATTATGGTATATTCCTTATTATAGGGCAATGCAGGATTTATATCATCAACCGTGTTTTTCCCTCCTACTTGGCAAGGACGTTGCAGGGGAGTGTCGGGTTTAGGGTTGAGGGTAGGGGGGAGGGGGGGTAGGGGGCCTTGATACCGATCATAAGGACTTAATAAGGCTTGTTTCAGTCTGGCCTTAAGAACTAGGATACCCAGTAACCTAAGAATAAAAAGGCCTCTCTTTTTGGTATTGGGTAACTGTATAAGGAACCTAGGACTACAAAAAGGGAATAAGGGTACTACTGGGCATCCTAGAGAATGTTTGAGGTTTACATGTTTGCCTCCAGTCAAGTATCCATTGGGGCTCCTGCTTTGGGTTTAAGCAACAAAAAACATACATGTATATATAGATATATAGGATTCTATGAGGTAACCCCCCCAAAAGGAACTGACATGGAGACTGTGGGTAGGATGGAGAGCTTCTAATGTGATAAGGGCTGGATAGATATCAGTTGTTCCATAAGAGGTTTGGTTTGTGGGTTTTCCTAGGAGCTTAGTTGCCTATAGACTGGGTGGCCGTGTTATGGGTATTTAGTATGATTTTATAGGGTTTAAGGAACAGTAAGCCACTTTCTACGCCCGTGGGCTCCCGCGTCTGTAATGGGATGCGCGACTTCCGAGTCTCGCGCGGGTGGAGGAATCATCTTCACAGACTTGTAGATTTCATAAGGACCCCATCTAAAGACATGTTGCTGTGTGGCTTGCTCCCCGCCTCTGTGTGCTTATTTCTTCTCTCTCTCTCTCTCTCTCTCTCTCTCTCTCTCTCTCTCTCTCTCAATTGTTCATATATATGTATATATATATATATACACATACACATACTTATACACGTACCCTAGGTGTATCCACCCATCCTCAAACGTCAGCCCTTCTTGCAGCAAGGGGGCCGGACATGGCTCCAAGAATGCTGGTTCCTTGGTTGCCCAGTTTAACTGAGTTGTCCTCTAAGCCCCTTGAAATTTATTTAATACTGTGGTTCTCTACAAAATGTGAACTTTAGGGTTTTTAGGGAGTTTAGGGTTTAGGGTGTGTTACCCTAAGGCTCCGTAGTGGCTCCTTTTTGGGGTTCATATTTAGAATCCGATAAGGTAATCCCCAAAAGCAACTACTACGGAGCCTCTGGGTATTTGCCACGAAGCGTCTAAGGTTTCATTCTTCAACAGGAGTCAACTTATATACTGCACCACAAAAAATGGTTGAAGCTGCTCAGCTCTCATGTTGTAAAGGGTGCCACATCGCCACCGACAAAATCAACTTTGCCGAATTCCGCCACTAAGGTTCCGATGGTCTTCACGACGCCCGCGCCCACCAAGGTGAGCAGCACGCCTCTCTAAGTCAATCCAAACTGTCGTCCGAAAATCCCAAGGAAGAGCTAGGCCCGAAAAACCAGAATCCATGCAGGTCATGAACCCCCGATGCCACAAACAAGAGCCTCCTTCAGCGGTATTGGCCTCACGAGGTGTTTGTTAACGATTTGCCGAAGCATTGCATGCTGAAGATTGACGGACGGCTGTACATGAAGCGTGCCCACTATCAGCCTCAGCCCGAAACCCCAATAACTGGTATAGGTTTGTGGGCATATTGCAATGCAAGTTCGAGTGTCTGTTTTGTGGGGCACTCTCGCTTGTTCTTCTATACCCTTGCGAGGAATGGGTAAATACGGGAAAGGAAGCATTGAAAACCTGCGTACTCAAACCTCCATCGGACATGCTACGGCCTCCGCTCACAACACGCATAGTGCCCAGGAGAACACAGCAAACGCGCATTCCGATGAGGAAGTACAGAAGGAAGCCTCGTCCGAGCCACGGTTTACATGTTGCGGCAATGGAGTTTCTAGTTCATTGTTGGGATAGGATTAGAAATGTATTCTTTTAGTCCTTTATTGGGTTTCAGTACCCATTACAAATGCAAAATGCTACCCAACTATGACAAAGGTTTGGGGTCTGGAGGTCCCAGCACTAAAACATAAATCCTTGCTGCTCCGAGCTGTCTGTAGTCTTGATCGTGCAAAGGATGCCGGACAATCGCACTACGATAGCCTGCGTCGACTGAAGACCTGGGTGTACGGTTAATTTAGAGGCCTAAATAAATACTAGTACCGAGGAGTCTGAAACTTTACCTGGCTCCCTGTTCGGAAGAAGGA